TCATAGCCTTAATTTGAATGTCGATATGAAAAAGGAGGAAAATCAGAAAGAGACTTAAGTACAAAGCATAGTTAGAGATGTATATGAAGAGGAAACTCTAGATTTAAAGGTTCTTACAAATACTCTTCACGTCATGTGAACATCGGACGAACTCCTTTTTGATCAATTTAAATGGATGTCTCACATATGAGTATCGGGCTGCTGTGATTTTCATGAGTTCATGTAATGATCACTTAAGGTCATGCAAAGGGTTAAGTTTGGGGGAGTTTGATCAGTGGTTTTTCTATCTTTGTTTACAGTTGATTTTAGTTATAGTTTATTTATTTTGTCAAGTGTTTTATTTTAGTCTTCTATGTTTTATGCGTTGGTTGTGTATTTTGTTATTTTCAGGCTCAGAGGAATAAAACTAGGAAATTCAGTGCAAATTAGTAATTTTGGAGGAAGTCTAAAAAACCAAGCTACGGGTTTCCTGATACGGTCACCTGTGTCGCCTGACACGTGCCATGTCAAGAGAGGATGCATAGTTACAATGTGGGAGCAGAGGCTGACACGGGTGCCCGTGTCAGCTGACACGGCCTGTGTCATAAGGTATGGGCGTGAGTTTTTGTTGGAATGATGGACAGAGGCCGACATGGGTGCCCGTGTCAGGTGACACGGCCCGTGTCGGCCAAGATGCTGATTTTGAGTGTTTTCATTATTTTGTATGATTTGAGACCCGGAATGGAGTTTTGGGCATTTCCGGTCGAGACAAATGGATTGTGCACTATTTAAATGAGTTTGGAAGAAGAATTAAGGACTTTTTGAAAGATTGAATAATTTGACGATAGAAGACTGGAGATCTAGAGCAGCTTTGGGAAACAGAGAACTCTTCATGCGCGATAGTAATTGAAGATCGACAAATCCATCATCCTTGTAATGTCTATATCTAATTTTTGTGTTATTTTACTTTTTAATTCTATGAGAGACTAAACCGCACAATGTTAGGGGGTGTCCCTGATTTGAAATGTTAAGAATATTGATCTCTTGTTTCATTCAACGTAACAGTTTTTATGTATCAATTTGATTATTTAAAAAATTCATAGTTTTACCCTATGGGACCATAGGGTTTCACTGTTATTAACACATTAGAGTCAGACAGTCGTGTTAAGGTTTTCTAAACAATGATATTATAGATGATTTCACCTAGGACTAGGGCAATCCTATGATAACCAGAATAGTTCTTGATAATTGAATGCTTAACCTCAAAACTAATTTGAATGGACATTGAAATTAGGATAGAAAGTTAAGGTTTTTCACTAAGGACTTAGGGAAAGCTAATCTTAAGAATCAGTAATTGAGGTTGATGAACTTGTTGAAAAAATCAAAGAGTTAAGGTTATTTCATGGCAAATCATACATTCCCCCTAGCATATTTTAATTAAAAAGTAAAAAGTCATATTTTGCTTTATGTTCTTTTACATATGTGCAAGGATTTATCCAACAAAACCAAAACGATAGTTTTTGTACAATTGAATTAATAATCACACTCAGTATTTACTACGCAGTCCTCGTGATCGATACTTGGGGTAAAACTCATTATTACTACATCGATAAAAATAGTAGTACACTTGTTATTTTTCTGATCATTAACCTTTCTAGATTTGCTGCAAAATGTTGAACCCTCTGATGGTTGATAAGACAAACCTTTCGATGTTGATGGAATATTGTGATTCAACTTCTCAAAACCACTTTTACCATTGCCTTTGGATTTGTGACAATTTAGAACAGAGAAATAAGATTTCGAAATCTCAAAATCTAGGTTTTCGATGTTGACCCCTTGTTGTGTAGCCTCAGAATTTCCACAGGTGTTGGGAAAATTTGAGACTCTCATTCCCGCCCATGGGGCACTATTCCATAGAAAAACCAAAATTGCTATGGGCTTTCATTGCCCTTAGAAATTGGTCCTTCTTAATATTTGTCTTACTCTTGGCCCCAACTATCCATGCCCACTTCTGAGAGTGCCTTTTTGCCACCTCCAACCTTTTTGCAAATATCCCAATCGCTTAGCTTGACCCCCCACGGCTGCAATCCATTGACTTTTCCACCTGCATGTTATTATTATTCACATCAAAACTATTGAAATTAGAAAGTTGTTTCTCCTTTTTCCAAGTCTGCTGAGGCTTCCCATCATCATTGTTCTGTGTAGCCGCCTCCTTTGGTGTCATGACATTTAATGCTTCTCAGCTCTCTTTATGTTTCCTTAACATCTTCTCTGTAGAAATTTATTGTGAAACTTGGACAAAAGACTTCTCTCAAATATCATCAGAATGGTTGAAGTCCCAGTCCCCACTATCATCATATGAACTTTCCCTTGATTCACTATCTCCATTGCATTTTATCCCCGAAAAGCTCACTATAATTTGCATAGGACCATGCACGTCCTCAACTACCTTAATACAAAAAACATTATCATTAATAGAAATATGGTATGTTTCATTCAAGACCAAACAATATTTCGTTCTGATTAGAATTCTAGAAACATCCATGTTCGTGTGTTTTGTTGTGTCTTCGTCGGAGCAAACATAATGTCCAATTGGTTTTGTCATGAAGTCGGAAACTTTTGGGTGCCATGCATGACAAGGTAACCCGAAGACTCTCAACCTAGTTAACCTCTCATTGTCAACATCCTGAGGACACCAAGGCCTGATTTCCATAAACCACTGTTTGATCCAATTTGAAGCTTCATCGATCATAACAGACAATTCACCTTCATCCCTTTCCTCTAATAAACATAAATTTTCTCCAAGAGGCGTAACCTTCACTCTGAAATATCCTTCCATATTGAAATATTTATTCATGTTATACATTACCCCTAGATTCTCCACCACCCCTACGTAATCTTTCTGAAACCTCTGCAAATCAGTCTTCTCCAAGTTGTATTCCAAGTGTGCAAAAAGGATCTTTTTTGTATGCACCAAGTCGTCCACCTTCCATTTGTTTAGTTAATTGTTTCTGACTATTTAAGCATATGTTTTTGAGTTGCTTCCTTGTATCCTTTAGTTATTATCTCCCTTGTTCTGAATAGTCGTCGTTGGCGCCACTCTAACCTCTTACCGAAATTGCTTCTTCCCATTGTTCTTCTTTCGTCTTATCTCCCATTGAAATCTTGGCAAATTCGCATGTATTTTCCTTGATTCTATAAAATGTTGTCCAACTTAATGTCCATTAACCTAGCATCCTCAATGTTGAAACACCTGACAAAACCAAATCGCTTTCCCCCTTTTGTCTCTTCTTGGTGGAATAATGACTTCATCAGTCTCTCCAAATTTCTTGAAAATTGCATACATTTCCTTTGCACCAAAATCTCTAGGTATCTCTGAAAAAGAACATTGTCGTAATGAGAACCATTGTATCCTCTTTGTATCTCCCTTTGCTAGTATCTCATCCTTGCTTCCCAACCGTCTGTTGCCTCCTTCCTCTTATAACATACTTCCATTCTGATGTTCCACTTCTTAGCTTGTCATAATACATAGTGATTATACTCTAAACTGTGACTTAGGGTTTGAGTAAGATTGTTTCACTTCAAAACCTGGCGTAAAAAAAATATTTTTTTTTGGTTTAGAGAAAAGTAAGACCTTCTCTCTCCCATTTATGATATTTTCAAAATGAAACAATCTTTTTCAAAATCTATGATTATATATCAAAATTTTGAAAAATCAAACATAAATTTTTTTAAAGTATTAAAATATAATATTTAAAAATGTAAAATATAGATATTTGGATAAAATGCAAGGGTGCAAAATACAAATTTGGGGTGTCAAAGTAAATTCCTCCAAATGGGTGATATGTTATAGGGTTTTGCTGCCTAAACAATGCAATAGTCGAATGCTTTTTAATACTAATCATGTTTTGAAAAAAATACACAAATAACCATGTTTCAGAGAAAATTACGCAAATAATCATGTTTCCAAAAAAAGTGAATTAAAGAGGAGGTGTCACTCCTATATATTTTTCAAACTTTTTCAATTACCTGCGGATTTTCCTACATATTTGACATTACCTGCGGACTTACTTGCGGAATTACCTGTGGGAAAGTATTCCGCAGAAAAATCCACATGTAAATCCGCAGATAAATAAAAAAAATTAAAAATTTTTTTAGAGATGACTATGCGTCATCTCACTTGACGTCTCCTTTAAAAAGATCAATACATACATCATCTGAGATCGCTATTACATTATAACATTTTTTTGAAACATAATCAATTATATAAATTTCTTTAAAACATAACTATTTATGTTTTTTTTTTCAAAACATAATTATTGTTAAAAAAAATCGCAATAGTCATATTCTAAACAAACTTTTTCTTTATATATTTGACGGTAAAAAAAATCACAATAGTCATATTCTAAACAAACTTTTTCTTTATATATTTGACGTTTGTACAATTTAGTACAGTATATGAAATGAAATTGCTTTGAAAAGTGGCACTTTTTCTTTTTCTTTTTCTTTCTCCATAATATCTTATTTCATTTAATTAATTAGTATGGAAACAGGTGGCTTCTTTAGTTTTGTAGGACCACTCCATATTCATGGCATTTTAAGAATGTAGGACCCTTTTGAATATACATTACTACATTAGGTAGTATTAAAGCTCATGTGGGTATACCCTTGTCCACATTTTCATCTAAATCAACACAAAAATTCAGCCTTAAAGAAAATAGGGAAAGAAAAAAAAAAGTGACATGTCACTCACATTGTATAATATGTTAATCACTTATCTCTTTAAAGATGAGGTGAATCTAACATTTGGATTTCATAAGCTATTTTGGCCCTTCACTCTAGATATGTATGGATAACACAATGTGACACTCATTGCTATACTCAAAATACTATATATTATATCATATAATAAAACATAACATATATACTAAAATTATTTTTCATTTCATGCACTTTTTGGGTTTGTTTGCTTTCTTCTCCTATTCTCTTTGTTTTGTCCATTAGCCACAGAATTAAGCACAATGCCTCATCACACCCATCAATACCATCTTCCTTGTTTGTATTGTCATCCACATAGCTATATTAGGATGGTAAAGATTCTACTTCATTCCCTTTCTGTTATAACATAATATATATTCCACTTACTACATGTTCACACTTTCATGCATTAAAAATGTAGGTTCACAATTTGATAGAGAGATGCTTGATGTTTCAAATGAGTCAAGATCAATGCATTAAGACATTAGAAGAACATGCAGGGATTGAGCCACTTGTTACTCTTACAGGTATATTTATCAAGTTTGTTACATTACACTTGCAATTTCTACTACATATCATATATATGTGTATATTTCTTGTGCAGTTTGGAGAGAGTTGCAAAAAGAGAATGAGGAGTTCTTTAGAGCATATTACTTTTCAGTTGGTCATTCTGAAAGGAAACATTGGAAATGATGAACCCAGTGAGATGGATATATGGATTAATTATGTCACCATTAAAGATAGATTAATTACTAAATATTAATTTGATTGATTATAATAAGAAGTAAGTTGTAGGATTTATTTGATTAGTATTTCCTTTAGAATTTGTGATCATGAGGCATATATATTATATTGTGTTTAATGGTTAGACTTGTACCATTCCCATTAGTTATAACTTTTGGCCTAATGTAAACTATGCGACAAAAGTGATTAAAGTCTTTTATATTTACTTTTGCAATTTTTAAAGTTTTAAAGTTAAAGTCGAGGTTTATTTTGTAAATGATAAAAGGTTGAGGTTTGATTGTAAATGAAGTTGCCTTTGAAATCATTCATATAGACTTATTTCCAAATGCACTTGTAAGGACTAATACATTTAGAGAATGACTAGTAAAGTTATTTGTGAGCTAAAAACACAAAACTACATTATCAAGTAAAGTATTTCATTTACTTCCTCTTTTCTAGATACTTCTTTGTTATTTACGACTTATTTTGCACACTTTAGATGCAACTTTATGAAATTGATTTTAAAAGTACTAATTTATGACATGCTTGCTTGCACGATACGCATTCTTCCATCACATAAATTTTGATGGTCAGTGGTCACTATTATAAATTAAATAGTAGCGTCTCACATATAATGTATTGTACTCATTTATGACATGCTTGCTTGCACGATACGCATTCTTTCATCACATAAATTTTGATGGTAAGTGGTCACCATTATAAATTAAATAGTAGCGTCTCACATATAATGTATTGCAGCAGTATCTGCGTTTAGGTTTGGATTAATTTTAAAATAAAAAAAAATCATTTGATTTAGAGATATTGAATAATTGATTAAAAAATTCAATCAGATTCGATTGCATGAAAATCTAATTTCATGCGATTTAATTTGAATTAATTTTTTATTATTCAAATTATAAATTATTTTTTTAAGATTAGAAAAATATTAATAAATAATATAATAGATATAATATATAACATATAGTATATTGAAAATTAATTTTATAAAATGAGAATGATCGATTATAGTTGAAACAAATGAAATAATAAAAATAAATAGATTAAAATATATTAATAAATAATATTAAAAAATAAGTATCGTCGAATAATAAATTAACATAATATACCATATTAATAATAAATAAATAAGTATAAAGCTTTAACTTTTCGTCTTGTTCTTCTGATTGAGAGCACTAACTCCACTAGAATTTATTGTTGATATTTGACATTTAATTTCACTTTGAAGTTTGTTAGATTTTGTGTTTTTTTGTAAATTTTTCTTACTCAGATCACATAAATTGATCTTGAGCAAAGAGACATGAACGATGAAGGATGACTAAGCTTGCATTATAAGTGTTTGAGCTTAATTACATTTCATAATGTTGCCAAATCGAGGGTTCTAAGGTTAAAGATGACGTTACTTTGCGCGTTTCAGACGAAATTCAAATCCTGAGCCAATTAGATCCAGGTGCGTGTGCAGCCGTTACCTCTTTTATTTTTTTTCTTTTAAATTCAATTTTTATTTCATTTTCTTTCAAAAATAATTAAAAATAGTTCCATAATTATTTTTCACCCAAATTTTTTTCTATAATTTTCTCAAAATATTTTCTACCTTATGTGATTTTTTTCCCCAGATTTTAAAATTAATTTTTAGCATTTTTTACTATCTTTTTCTTTAATTAATTGATTTTAAACATTTTTTCTCATTGATTTTGAAACATTTTAGATCCAAACTTTTGAGATCTTGATCCTTGGAGTTTTCTTGATTTTTCATAATTTTCCCGAGCATTTATTTAATGTTTGGATGCTTCATTTGAATTTTTCTTTGTATTCCCTTTTATAACCATTTTAAATTCATTTTATATCATTTTATTTGTTTATTTCTTCATGTATTTTTGGTTTGACTTCTGTTGACTTGGATCATGACTCATTTGATCAAATACTTCATTAATATCAATGGACTTTGGATGATACTTTGGATGCATGAATCTTCATCATTTCAAACTTATCATTAAATGATCATTTGGATCATTTTTGTACTTTGGATTGATGATAGGTGTATCCCATTGAAACATCAAGAAAGGCGATTAATATTGTTGATAGATTAACCTAATGTTGTGATTCAATTTGGTTACTCGTCTCTCTTCATCTCTTTCTTATTTTGTTTTGATCAATTGGATGATGATGTATTCATCTTGTTCAATTAGGCTTAGATTGATAGTTGACGAACTTTCATCATTTCAAATCTATCATTAAAGGATCATTTGAACACTTTTGGTACTTAGGATTGATGATAAGTTTGTCTCAAGGTATCATGAAGAATATGATTGAAGTAATGATATAATCTCCTTGCCTTTGTGTTTGATCATTTATCTCTTCGTCTTTTTCCTTTTGTTTTGAATCATGGTGTTACATTGTTTTTAGAGAATGACTTTGTATTATTTCTATAACATGCACTACACCCACATTGCTATTGTCTGACCTCAAATAGGTGCAACTTCTATATAAGTTCTCTTACGATTTTTTAACATAGCGTTAAATTGTCCCGAATCAGATTACTAACTACTAACATTAACATTAATTCAATATTATTGTGCTAACTTTACTTTTTTGCACTTTTACATCAATGTCATTTAATTTCTTGTCATTTACTTTAATCTCATTTAATTTCAAACACTTTATATTTCATTCCATTTACTTTTGTGCCTTTTCCTTTTGCCAATTGGGCTTTTCTTTTTCTTTTAAACAAAAGACATTAATAAAGGAAAAGTCATAAAAAAAACTTTTAATGTGTTCTTGAGGACTATCTGGCTATTATCCTTTACTTGAGGAGTTTTTGGACCTTATACCTTGAACTTAGGACTTAGTTCCCTTTGCTTGGAGTGGTTTATTGATACTTGGAAATTTCATCTGATACATTGAGCTTCACATGAGACTTTAGATTTTCATCTAATACCTTTGGATTCCATCTGGTGTTCTATATTTTATCTGATGTTGTGTTATCTGAGACCTTTGAATCTCATTTGATGATTGTGATTTTTATCTGATACTTTATTATTCATCTGATGCTTTCTATTTTCATATGGATATTATTGCTTATCTTGTGGCTTACTCCAGGGGAAATGAATGCTTAGTTTGACCAATGTCAAATGCTTGCTCTTGTTGTGGTTAGTTCACTTGCACACACAAAGGCTTTCTCTCGGGCTACCTTGCAATGAGACATTTTATTTCATGTCCTTTACTTTATGCTTTAAGATAGTCTCTTCATATCCTCCCCATTCTTCAATTTTCAAAGATTCTCCCAATTTCAAAAACTTCTTGTTTTCAAACTTCATATCTTTTTTTTAATAAATATTGACTTTGTCAAGTGATCCAGAAAATATTTTTATTAATAACTTCTAAAATACTTAAGCATATTGAAACAATTTCAAAAACTTATAAAAAAGATAAAACTCATCAAACCTCTTTTTGTGCCTTAGTGCACTTTTTCTTTTCAAATCAACCCTTTTTCTGAAAGAAAAAAATATGAGTTTATTCCTGAGATGATAAAAATAGCTATACTTCTAAATGATGTTGTGAAATTAATTGACATTTTCACTTGAATGTTGATATATACTTATTGAGTAAATCCAAGTAAATTTCTTCATATCAAGATGATGCAAATGCTCATTTCCTCATACTTGTGGATAGTAAGTTGAGTTTCTCACTCGAATATGACAAAACGTCTTTTTCATCTAAAAACAATCAACAAACAAAAGCTCATTTCATAAACAAATGCAAGTGATTCCTATGGAGTACCATAGATGTCAAGGGTGTTAACACATTTCCCTTGCATAACCAACCTATGTACTTAAAATATCTATTTTGTTTTGTTTTAAAAACTTTTTATGGGTTTTTTTACGATCTTTTTCCTTTTTCCTTTGGAAACAATAAATTTCGGTTACGGCTCTTGCTTTTTCTGAGTTAAGTTAATCAACAGCTTAATCTCAAATTTTCCCTCTGCGATAATTCTTACACATGGTTTCTAATTTCTTTCTATTGTTTTATGAGTCATATCCTAATCCTACTTTATTATAGGAGACTCTTTGATTTCCAAATAGTACTTCCAACTTATCTCTTCCATTTTTTAATTTTACCAAGGTTTCCTAAAGGTTGCAAACTTCTTCTTGTAAGATATCGCAGTCATTACATGTGTTGGAAGTGGAAGGTGACCTCAAGCACAAGAGGGGGGTGAATCGTGGTTTTTGAAAGGTGTGGATATTTTTTCCTTTCTCGATTAAGACCGCGTTAGTAATGTTTTTTGATAACGCGTAGAGAAAGTAAAGTAATAAAATAAATTGCGGAAAATTAAAGAGAGTAAGGATAGAAAGATTGCACCTGAGAGTTATCCAAATTTGGCCGAATGTTGGTCTAATCATGTCCCCAAGAGGTCTTCTTAAGATTTTTTAGTATAGACTTGAGAGATTTTTATTGATTATGCCCACAAACTTTAATACAGTTTGATCTTTGACTTTGAACAAGCTTATCCCAACCTATGGAAGGCTTTCACCCCAACTTATTCTATTGAGACTATTTAGAGATTTATGACTGATCTCTTTAACCAAAACAAAGGTTTTTCCGACTAAGCTTAATAAACCAATAATAAATATTTATGGTTTATCTCAAGAACCAAAACTCAATCTCTTAAAGGTATCACACCCTTAAGACTATAAACGACCAGCACGACCACTTATCAAATAATATTCTCCTCACAAATAAAATTTTACTCCAAAGCACTAAGGCAACAAAAAGTAAAGAAAGAAAATTTCTAGAGAGAGAATAAGAGAACTTAGAGAGATAAATTCTAAACAAATATGAAAACGTTGGAAAGTAGCATGATTTCAAGTTTTGGAGACCTCCCTTTATATAGTAGTTGGAATCACAAAAATAGAAAATAATTCATGGGTCTCCTTAAATATTTAATCGATTTATCTAATCGATTAGTTTAAATGAATATGGCCGTTATGATTCTCAAAATGGAAGGTTGTGATATAGATCTGTTGCCAATCGTTTAGGAGTTGTGAAAATGTCTTGGGGCGTAAGTTTGATATTTTCTAATCGATTAGACTAAAGTTTTAATCGATTAAATTAGACAAAATTTCCCCTCTGGTCATTTTTAGAGTTTCTAAGTTATTTGGCACAACTTCCAAGTCATCTTTAAATGTTTTTCTTTTTAAAGTTTTTTTTAGTCTGTGTGAGTTGCCTTAGTATTTTTAAGCTATTATTTTATTTTTACAATACTTGGTTCACTTAGACAGACTGGAAAAATTTGGCGAGCTTCCACATC